CTAGTTGTAACCCCCATGAAACTCCTTAGCTATATAGCTATATGTACCGATATATTATATCCGTATATATAAAATACTAGGTGTGATTTACATGCCATTTCAATATTTGGAGATGGTAACATGCTTCGTGTTTATGTGAGGAGCTATGAAAAAAAATAATAATAATTTAGGCATGCAAAATTTTAATTCCCGGGAAGAATATCTCCTAAAATATCTATAATTATGTGGGTGTAATTATGTGCCATGTCTTTTTTATTTTGTGGTGTTATCTAAGGTTTATGAAAGTATTCATAGGAATAACCTTTTTGGGAAATTAAATAGCCATCATTTATTTTTTCTATGATATTATATTTAAAATGACCATACAAGTAAAAGAATTTCCCAGGACAAAGTGCATGGTCGAATTTTTAGGAACCACATGAGGTAAGAAAGTTGGTTAGTTTAGTTAGTTTAGTTACCTTTTAGTTTCCATCTTTAGTTAGTGATGTGACATCAAATCTTCCTCCACACTTCCTTTTGTACTATCTCACTCATTTTGGGAAGCCAAACACGCTAATTTGTCTCCCACTTAGTCTCCATCATATGATCTTTTCTATCACACAAAGTGTTGACACTTGGCATACTAATAAATGAAGGAAATAAATGGTCTAAAAGTGTGATATAAAAATGGAAGAAAGACATGAACTTTGCCATTTTTGGAGACAAAATCGTAGCTTTCAAAAAAAGATGAGAGAAACGACTTTGAGATGGAGAGAGAGATGAAAAAAAAGGAGAAAAAGAACGAAAAGTCTAAAAAATCTTAAGCAAGCATATATCATTGTAAGTAGGTTTTATTTTTGCTTACTTTATGCCTTAAGTTCTCTTGTAAATGTTCAATTTATGAGTTTTGTTTTAAGTCATGTAATGTGTTGTCATGGTTGGTTATGTTGATGTTATGTTTTGATGTTTTGTGATGGATCTAGTATGGTTGTTGTGATGTGAGGAATGGTTGATGTGGATGTATGCATGGTAGATGTGGTTGGACCAAATTTGGTGGGATCTAAACTATACTTGGTATGGATTTAGAAAACATGACTTAGAAGTAAAGAAATGAATTCCTAGGGTTTTCCAACGGGAACCCATTCGGCCTAGGAGGGAAAAAGGAACAAGAATGAACTTTCTTTTAGGTAATGACGGATTTAATGTTCAATGACAACTCCATTAAGCATAAATTAGTGAGTTAGATTAAATAGAGAACCTCTAAGCACTTTAGAACCCAATTCGGCCTAATCCCATAAATTTTGGGGTTTGGGTTCTAACCTTTCAACCTTATGATTAATGGTTAAATCCCACCTAAATAAGGGTAAAATAAAATGTTAAAAGGTAAGAATCTAAGAGAAAATCCAAAATTATAACCTAGGTCCATTAAGAGCAAAAGTCGATCATAACTACCTAAACTAGGGTTAACAAAGAAATTCTACTTCAATTGTGGTTAAATAGGTTCGTAGGGTTAAAGTATATAGATGCATTTAAATCTAACCACACAACTTCGTGAATAGTGGTTTATTTGCACCATAATAGGTATAAAATGAAGTATTAGAAGGTGAGAATTCAAGAAAAACCGAAAATAAGACCTAGATCCCTTAGAGGCTAAATTTGACTACTAAGGTTAAAGTTTGGATTAAAAGAAGTTTCATCTTTAGCATGGCACAATAAATCCTTAGAATTGACGATCGGATAAACTAAGTAGTATGTTAAAATACAAAGCTAGAGTTACTACGTATATGAGAGGAAAGACACGAATGTACGAAATACACTTATGACTTGAATAATACCAATGGGTGGAAGTAGTATTCTCTTGGGGGATGTCATGAGTTGAATGTCATGAATCCAACATCATGTGCATCATATGCATATGGGGAATGAATTAAATTAAGAAAAATAATCAAGTAAAAAATGATGAGGTTTGGTAACCGAATCGGATTGAATTGGATAGGTTTGATAACCTACTAGATTAAACGGGTATTAGCACTAAAGCCGTGTGCGTGCTCTATTCTGTGTGACTATACCTGGTAGGTAATGGATAATACGCTAATCGAGGCTACAACGAGGGGTAATTCCATTGTTAGTCGTAGGTGATTTGACAATCATCGAGATATAAAAATAGAGCGAATTTGCTAATACCTAGGGTATCCGAATTAAAATTTGATGAGTCGAAGTGGGAGAGTCGTGAAATCATTACATATCACATGCATAACCATACTTATTAATCTTCAACTCACTCGTATTTATTTCATACCATGATAAGTAAAGACGATAAAAATACCGATAATGAAGTCGTCGATTCCTCCCGTAAAGGGACTCATGTGTGACACGAAAATATAGGAGTCTCTTGTGCTTATAAATTACATTTTGTAACTTTTGTAATGATATTCGAGTATATTATGTATGTTGCGTTGAAGTAAATTTGAGACGTTAGTCTCAAAACTATGACGCACCTAGCCACACCTTTTAGGTAATTAGTAAGGGAGTTAGGGGCGCCACATTAGCCGTTAGCTCCTCTCCTACACGGTAGCCCCTCGCCCACCTGTCTCTGCCTCTCCCACAACGACCTCTCGCCCACTCGCCTCCTCATCTCCCGTAGCAGCTCTCCTCCCCCACAACGACCTTTCGCCCACGGTAGATCTCCTCCCCTACAGCCTCCGCCACGCCTCTCGGCCCGCTCCCTATGCCACCATGCCTGCTGCAACACCGGCAGCATGTACCCGGCTCCACGTCATCAACGGCAAAGTCTTCCCCCAATGCACGTCACCCCATGCAGCAGCTCCAACGCGTGCACGCCTCTCTTGTCGGCGGCCTCCGCCTTCCCGGTGTCGGCAAGCAAACTTCCTCCCATGCGGCCTGCGCCGGCGCCCGCCCTAACGCCCGGGCCTAGCGCCTCACCTCCGACCACATAATAGCGCCTCCGGTCGCCACTCCTAGTCATCTTTCCTCCCCGGTTGATCGAATATCGATCTCCATCGGGGTTGAAAGGGATCCGAGCAAATCTCAATTCAACGGAATGATCTCGCTTGTTTACAATAATTTGTTTTCACCTTGCTTTATTTCTTTTCTTTTCTTTTTACATGTATTAAATCTGATTTTTATTAATATGTGTCCGTAATTTATTTAATGATCGCATTTGTGTGATTGATTTAATCCGTTGTTCATTATGTGTTTTGTCCGAATTGTTGTGGTGCGTGTCTAAATTAATTTATGGCATTTGCGATAGTCGGACGATGTGTTTACCTAGATGTTTACTATTGTTTAATATGTATATTTTTAAAATGCATTGACATGAGTTTTGGGATTGGACCTTTTTTGGTCGGACATATGCACGTCATGACAATTAATTTTGCACGATATTGATTTTTTTAGCCGAATTTTGTTTTTTATCGATTTCAACTCGATTGCCGCTTTCGTCAAATTTAGCCTAGTTGTTGATTTTTTTTGCCTTTTGTCCATTTAGGCCTAGTCATCAATTTTTGCCTTTTGTCGATTTTTGCCCAATCGTCGATTTTTGCCAACTTGCCAATGTTCATCGATTTTGCCTAATTGTCGATTCTCGTCGATTTTTACCAACTTTTTGATTTTTTCCTAATTGTCAATTCTTGTCGATCGGTCAATTTTTGCCAATCATTTTTGCCAATTTGCCGATTTCGCCTATTTTGCCTAATTGCCTATTTTCCAATTTATCGATTTTTGCCTATGAATGCCTAGATTGCCGACTTGCATTTATTTTTGCCTATGATTGCCTAGATTGTCGATTTTCATTTGTTTTTGCCCTAATTGTTGATTTTTGCCTATGATTGCCTAAGTTGTCAACTTTTATTTTTTTCTCTTACATTGTCGATTCTACCTATGATTGTCTAAATGTTGGCTTTTGCCTATGTTTGCATAAAATTGCTTGATTTTTTGCCTAACTCGTCAAGTTTTGTCTAAGCATCGATTTTCGTTAATTTAGCCAATTTTATCATGATTTTTTTGTTTACTCATGTAGCCAAGTATACCTATTTTTGCCTATTTTGTCAATTTTTGTCATTTAATTTTATATGTTTTGGCCTCCTTGCATTATCATTTTTAGCCATCCATTACAGAGTGAGGACGAGATCTCTAATCGATCAAGTCCCGAATCACTCGACTAGGAGAATGTTTTCATAAAAAATCAAAAATTGAATCAATATTGTATGCAATATAGCTTGTCTTAGGCAAGACGAGGTATGGTGATTTTTAATCTTCCCCGCACGTAATAAACCCCTTATCCTTATCTCTCGAACGGACCGACCATAGGGTTTCCTAGTAATCGTAATATTAAGTGACGACTCCAATCATTTGTGCCCATTTTTCCTTTCTTTTTTTTTTTTCAATTTCGTCACCCTCACCATCGGCGTTGACTTGGCACAATAGTTTGAGGAGGATTTTTGCCATTGAACCATTTTCAATTACATAATTATTTTTTTAATTATGTGCTTAGGAGACCAATTAGCAATCATTTTAAATTGTAATTATATATATTTTTTAATTCAATCAATAATAGTTCTATTGTTTTTGCACGTGATTCACTTGTTTTCTTTTTATAGAGATTATTTAATATATTAGTAAATATTACATCGACTTGTTAAACATAATGCATAAATAAACTATTATAATGATAACACTCTAATGGATTCTTTAGCATCCGAAAATGTTAAATGATAGTTTTTGAATACTTACATACTAATACGTATTGATTATTTTTATATATTTTTAATTGACATAAAATTCATCATAGTGTAATAAATTATTAACAATAACATAATAGACTCTTAGCATTAAATATGAATAGAAAAACTCAACTTATTAATATTTAAAGATTGATTAAAAACTTAACATCTTAAGCTGAAAAAACTATTTTAATTTATAAGAAAAAATTTAACTTGCTCCGACGGTAACTTTAAAAACCATGCATGGTGGACCCACGCCTTATATGGTCCTCGCTTCTTTCACGTGAATAGCACGTGCGTGTTGGTTTCGTGCCGGTTTTTGGGTCGAGGAAGGCCTGCCCTCGGCCCTTCCTTTGGGTCCCTGAAAGTTCTCTTGCTTTCGCTGTCGCATTTGCCCAGTGTCTAAATTTGCCGATCTTGAAAAGTGACACTTGGCAAGTGCTTAAACAAATCAAAATTTGTGATAAATAATTTTCAGGTAAAACTGCTTGACTATTTTGATGAAATTACACAATGATTGTGATGGTTCCAAAAAGAATTGTATGACTTCTAGTACAAATTTTGTTTTCACGATATTGATACTCTATCAATTTCTTGATAACCATCGAGTTACCTTGAGTTCTATTTGAAAATTTTAAATTTTGTGGCGTATGATTTATTTTTAAATTTAAAATTTTGATATCATATTAATTTAGATTATTAACGTTAGGTTTATTAAAAAAAAACCTAAATTTATGATAGATAAATTATTTTTAATTTTATGATAAATAACTTTAAAATTCGATACCATATGAATTTAGAATAATTTCGTTTAAATAATTTTATATTACTCTTTAAAAAAATCTGTATCTTGCCATCAACAACATATTAGTGTAAGAATTTCTCATTTTTTAGTTTGTTACTAGTCACTTGAAAGCATTATAATGACAATGCTTTCAAGTTTGCAAAATAATAAGATAGTATTTGTGATACAATAAGTATAAGTACTTATTAATTCATAGTCATTTAAAAATAATTTCTTTATAATTTAAAAATATTTTTTCTTCTCTAAGGTAACAATTTTTTTTATTGAAATTATACTTAATTGTGCATAATTATCGTAGTTACAAAGTAATTAGATAAGTTAAAAAAAGATAAGATATTTTTTCACAACGTATTAAGTAATAAGATATTTTTTCACAACGCATTAAGTAAATTTATTTAATAGTTTGTAATCCTTTATTATGATGAGAATTTTAATTTTTCTTTTTGAAGGTAACAATATAACTTTTAAGTGGTAATTGTATAATAATATCAGGAACTAACATAATAATGTAATAATTAGTTAAATTGTTGAATATTAAAATAAGTTATTACGATAAAATAAATAAAAATGTTTAAGATTTGTAACATGAAGGCACTATAATTATAATGCCTTCAAATATTCAGAGAAATTGCCTTTTAGTCTTGTAGATTTTGCATGTATATTTACTTATTAGTTTGTTTGGTAATATGGTTGGAAGTATTATCCAAAATTGATTTTTTTTCAGTGTATTTTTCCAACGATTTTGACATTATTGCATCAAAATCACGAAAAAAAATAAAAAATATATATTAATTTGATTTTTTTTTCAACTTTATCGTGCAGAGTGCTTCATTTATTTTATTTTATTTTATTTTTTAACTTTTAAAGTTATTTTAAAAGCAATCAAAACGCAATACCAAATTAACCCCCAAAAAAAATAATAAAAAATAAAAATAAAAATATTGTCTACCATTTACTTTACTATTCATTGCATTATTCTACCAAACTCAATTTATTATTTACCAAAACTCATTTGTACTGTTTCTTTCTGCTATGATATTGGTGAATTTTCAAGATTTTTTTAAATATTTAATATGTAAATTGTTATTACGTTACATTTTTACACATTTTTGTTTCAATTTCGAACTTCATTTTCAGTAGCTTGGTTTTTTTTAATAATTTATTTTTTAAAAAATTATTGATTTTATTGTAAAAATTATAGAAAATTGATCGTTATTTTTAAAAATTTTTCGTACAAAATGGTAAGAAAGAAATATATATGACATGTTTTATATATTTAAATGAACATATTTTTGTTTTAATTTCGAACTTCATTTCACTAGCTTGGTTTTTTTTCAATAATTTAATTTAAAAAAATTATTGAATTTTTTTTTGTAAAAATTATAGAAAATCAATCATTATTTTTTAAGTTTTTCACACAAAATGGCAAGAAAGAAATACATATGATGTGTGTTTATATTTTTAAATGAACATATATTTTATATTAAAATACTCCTATTGTTTAATTTTTTTTAATTTCTCATTTCTTATAGAAATTCTCATTCAATTAAGTTTTAATTTTTTTTTTTAAATTTATTTGTTCATGAACACGATTTAGTTTTCTCTATGTATGGATTTTGCGGTTAAATTTTAAAACATGATCATCCTTTCTATTTAAAAAAAAAATTAATATAGTTTACATGATAAATTCTCATAATTTTTAAATGAGACTTATATATAATCTAAAAGTTACAAGTATATTTTAGATGATTTGTCTCAGAATTTTAGGAAAAAAAAAACTAATTAATTAATAAATAAATAAAAGTAAAATGAGAAAAAAAAAAGAGAGGAAATAATTTATCTACGTGTGAGGTATGCATAAGAAGACTAGCCATATATGGCCTAGGAACAGAAAAAAAGATTTTAAAAAATTAAAATATATGTGTTTTATCTATACTATATAACAATAAAAATATACATTTTGGATAAATAATATTTAGTTTGCTATTCCTTATAGTTTCTCTTATGCTATAAATAATAATTATTAAAAATTAAACTAGCGATAATAAAAATTCAACTAAACCGAATAAACACTCTAAAAACTGAAGAGATATTACTAAATATCAAATAAACAAATTGAGACCCCCTCCCAAATAAATATATGTGACTATAAATCGGATACTGCAATCAAATACTAGTGCTAACTAAATTAACTACTCATAACTGGGGTAAATCGTAATGGTATTGTTTGAACATCAATAAATGTTTTAGTATCCTGGATTTAAAAATAATTTTAAACTTGAAACAAGAGATTTGTACAAAATTATTTGTCCATCTAAGTAAAACATAAATTAGATAATATAATAAAATAATATTTTAGCATATATAACAGAAATGATATAAAATCTAAATAAATATATATGACTATAAATTGGATCTTGCAGTTAAATACTAGTTATAAAAAAAAAAAAACTAAAACAACTTGGGGGTGGCATTGTTCATTCACTGTAGTAGTGTTTTTTTTTTTTTCCGACTGGCCTCTTTTTTTTTTTTTTTTTCTTTTTAAAGGGCTGCACTGTTGGAATTGTTCCTTCACTGTAGCAGTGCCATTTTTTTTTTTTTTTTACAGCTAGCCTCCTTTTAAAAAAAAAAAGGGCTGGGTTGCTAGAACTTTTCTTCACTATAGCACTATAGCAGTATTTTTTTTCGGCTGGCCTCCTTTTTTTTTTAAAAAAAGAAGATTGGGTTGCTAGAACTCGTTTCTTCACCGTAGCATTCTTTTTTTATTATTATTATTATTGGTTTTCAGTTTCTATATATTCTCGGATGACAATCTGTTCCCTTCTATATAAATAATTTATTTATATATTTTTTATCATGAAATTAGATGTGAATGTATATATAAAAAAAGATCTTTATTTTTTTAGTTTTATATAAAGTTTGATAGTAATAGAATATATATGATATTTTTTAAAAATTTTAGTTTGAACAAATATATCCGATTATATTATTTTTATTATTTAAAATTTATTTCTTCAATTGCTTGTTTCTTATTGAAATTCTTATCGAATTAATTTTTAAGTTTTATATCATTTTATTTGTTAATAAATTTGATTTTTTATATAGTGTTTTTGAAATAAATTTTTAGAACATGATTGTTTTATTTTTTAAAATATATTATTATAATTTATACGATTGATTATTTTTACAATTTTCAATAAAAATGGCATTGTTGCATATATAAATTCCAATGTGTGTGTGTGTGTGTGAGAGAGAGAGAGAGAGAGAGCTAAAAGTATGTTATATATTTCATGCAATTTAAGTGGATATATATATATATATTCGATGGGGGAGAGAAGAGAGAGAGCTAAAAGTGTGTTTTAGATAATTTGACTTAATTTTTTTCAAAAATAATAATCAGTTAAAAAATTTTGGCTCAATTTTTTTTTAAATAATAATTACTTAAAAAATTTCATAGGTTTTATTTGGTTATGTATATATAATTAGAATTTATCGAAACCAATTTTATAGTAATTTTTATTTAAATCTATTTACTTCGATATATTCCATGCGATTTAGGTAGGGTTTTTTATATATATTTTTTATTTATTTTATATGCTCTAAATATGCTAAGTAATATATATATATATATATATATATATATATATATATATATATAGTTTTGTTAGAAATTAATTATATCCGCATACATAACACAAATTATTTATTATTTATTTTTTTCATGTTCTAAAATATATATTTTTAAATGAAATAATTTAATTAATGTTTTGAAAGAACCTATTAATTATTCAAATATAAATTTTTATACTAATAATATAAATTATTTTGTTAATCAATATATATAAATCAAACAAGTTTCTTGAATATATAGATTCGATTTATATTAAACTTCAAAAATAAAATATCTACTTATATCATACTATACAAATCACTCATCCAATATTTATAATAATTGTTTTACCGTAGCTTAGGGTAAGTATCTAACTTGTGGTAACTAAATTAACTGCACGTACCTGGCGTAAATCGTACTGCCTTGTGATGATAGACTTTGTATTAAAACCTTTTTTAAGGGTCTTCATTGATTTCCATTTCTTATCGGGCTTGGCCTTTTTCGCTTGTGCTCATACCTTATCTGGGCGAGCGTTTGGACTTGGACAGAAGATCCCCCCTGGCCCATAAAGAAAGGTCTTATATCTGAGGTATTTCGGCAAATGTATAGCATGTAAAATCCTTTATAGTCCAATTGATGATTTTCAGGGCTCACAAAACTTACAGTGCAATACTCTGAACTAGTCCCTGTCAACCACTCTCTTGCAAGAGAAATTAAAATTATATTTCATCGCTCTTGCAGGCAGGCGTGTTTGTGAAAAACATCCTGATAATTGTTTATAGAGTTTATAGCTATAAGCATGTGTAAGGTACAAAAAATGCAAAACGAGTTTATCAGGATTAAATGATTACCTTGTGCATATTAAAAATAAAAAATAAAAAAGCCAGCGCATATATCTGGGTTAATAATGAGCTGAAACCAAGTTGGATTGTCCCTTTCTTGCTAGCTGTTACGAGGTTGTAAAAGCTACAAAAGTAAGTTATAAATTAGTGTTTTTGATGTTTTAAACACTAATTATTTAGATTTTTTGTTTTTGTTTTTATATATTTTATTTTAAAAATATATAAAATAAATAGATATTATATAAACATTGATGAGCAAAGAAAATGTTTTTAAAATAAAATAATATTAAATTAAAAACGATAAATACTTTTAAATTGAAACTGAATAATCAGGTTTAGAAAAAAGAAGAAAAAAAGATTAATTAATTTTTTTTTCAAAATTAAAAGGAATAATTTATGATTTACTAATGTTCTAATAAATTGATAATTTCAGTTAAAATAAAAAAATAAAAACTGATAAATTCCTCCTCCTCCTCCTCCTCCTCCTTCTTTTGTGTGTGTGGGTGGGGGTGAACTTAGGGGATAAACTATCATTTCTAGCCCCGTACATTTTCAGTCCTTTTAGAAGCTAGAATGAATCAGACCAGAAGAGGTAGCATTCTAATAAAAAGTGCTTAGAGGATAATGTAATATAATAGGAACATGCATACCAAACCCAAAATAGTGAGTTTGGTTACCATTTAGATGGTGGTATGCCAGGTTGGTCAAATTCTTCAATTTATCAAACATCTTTAAAAAAATTAAATATCTGGAGGAGGGTATGCATTGACCATTGAATTGTTGCAGCAAATTAGTAGAAGAGTTATTCAAGCACCACACGCATTTCCTTTCCTCTCTCAATCGGTCAACCATCGGCAGCTAATAATTCAACAATTTATTTGTCTTGGAGAATAATGGGTCCACAATATTAAAATCAATGTTTTAAATGTAGTGGTTATACGATTGTACTGAAAGTTTTTCGAATTTGACCATCACATGGCATGTTTTTTTTGCTTCTTTGCGTATTAGAAAACCTCATGCCACCTTACGGGGGTCTTTCAACACCTATCAAAGGCAAAGAGAGAAGTTTCAAAACAACAAATTTGCGGAATATGAAGGACCCAATGAAGTAACATGAAACTTTAAAGGAGTTGAGGGAGACATGGGCATGAAAGCTAAAGGCTAATACATGTATGGACTTGTGGCTCCTTTTTTGGCCATATGTTTTAGGCCTTAAGCAATCTCAAATAGTCCCTTTCCTTTCAATCCGTGGCACACTAGGGGGAAAAAAATCAAAGCATATGGTGTTTTTTTATTACTTACCTACTCTTGTGTTTAACATTTATGAGATTAAAATTTTGAAATGCAGTACTTGTTTTCTTCCTAGTATTACTTAATATGAAATGGGTTTCTTTTACTATGATTCAACCCACACGCGAAGACTTCAATCACTCTAATGTCCACACGAATTTGACACGGGGTTCTTGGGCTTCGCCAATCAACAGCAAATGGTGGTGGTATCTATCTTGTTGTCGTCACGCCTTTTGGGTGCATTACTTTTAAAGTCATAGCTTTTACTTTTTTTTTCTTTTTTCTTTTTAGCGCACACATGCACCACATGATTTTTCTCACTGCTTCTCTATTGGTTGAACCTACTCACGGGTTGCAAGAGCGCAACACGGATTGCATTGGACCAAGAAGCCTCTTCTGTTCTTTTCTGTTCAACAATCTTGTACAGCAATGGGATGATGATGTTGCATGTTGGTTTATGAGTACTAATTTATTCGAATCCTTAGTTGATGGTATTACTATTATTTAGTTTCTTTCTTTGGTTTTCTTACTCGAGTTCTTTTCTGCCAATGTTGGAGATACCTCAAAGGCTTTATAGAAAGAGGGAAATAAAGGGATGGCCTAGAATTTGAGAACAGGATCTATTCTTTCCTCCTTTTCATGTGCATCTAAAGAAGCTTCACCTGATTGCTAAGACAACAGAAAAAAGTGATAAAAGAAAATTGAACTAGGAATCTCTTACAGTTTCCATCGCATGTTCTGTTTTCCATTAAAAGAAGAAAGATTTAAATATTTCTTTATGCAACCATACAGAAGATTGAAGTACAGAAGCACGGCAATGCAAATGCCCCCACTTGTTTGAATAAACATCTGGATCCAATTTTTACGAAGCTTGACTGGCATCCGTAATGATAAGAAATGGTCCCCAATTGCAAGCTTTTTAACATACCATCCAAACCACAAAACTGATAATGAGCTTCAAATTCTAAAAGATATTTTACTGGAACAGCAATTGCAATATGGGATGGGATGTCTCTGTTAGCTGCAATTCAATCGTTCCAATAATTGTGTCATGCCATATCTGATGAAAGAGAATTGGTTGAAGCGCACGCACAGGTTTCCTTCAAAATAATAATCTCACACGAAACGTGTGAAAATCATGAACTAATCAGATTAAAACCTCCAGGACCTTCCCTAATACAAAAGTCAAAAACCTACGACATAAAACTCCTTAATAAGAGGTAAGCTGATTGACAGCGAGGGCACGAAAATGAATTACCTCATAGAAGACGTAACTTAAAAGCAGCAGACTCATGAATCAAAACCTTAAGAATCTACAACTGAAAGTCTTGCAACTTAACTGAAATAGTTAGAATTGAGTTTATCTGAAACAAGCACCACGAACAAAAAAATAGCCATGCGATGATAATGCACATAACATGGAAAGGAACAAAAGAATTAAACAACTAAACATAAAACAAAACAAATATATCAGAGCTAAATAACCAACAATGATACAGTTGGTTACAACTTACAAATGTAATTCATCTGGCAAGAATACTTCCTTATGACAAAATATGTATACTATAAACAATCACAGAAAATTTGCTGCCCTACTTGGTCAATAGGTAGTTATTTTTTCTACTTCTAGCCAGCTCCTTTTAAGATCCCTTGCGGTATATCAAAACCTCTGAAGAAGCTTTCAAAAGGGTTCTTCACTACATATACGCCTATGGACTATATGTCAAACTCAATTCTCGAACTACCCAGTTGATGATAATGACTGTAATGAACTGGATTCGCGGGAAAATGCTGCCATCAGCTTTTCCTTCGTTAGCTGCTCAGATCCTTGAGACTTGATCACAAATGTATGAAATACAGTGTCATTTGCAGCAGAAAGTTTCGATTCAACAACAGTGATCTGTGCTTCTTTGAATGCTTGAATCACTCTTGATGCAGGATGTGAATCCAACGGACAACTCACTCTTACCATCAACTCATCATGGGAAGCCTGAATATCAACATCTGGAGCTTGATTATGACTTTCTCCGTTCGCAGTAACATCCAAAGTCGATGCATCTCTTGAAATGCTCCCCAATTTTTCCCTTTCAGCTTCCATTAGCTTGAGCTTTGCTTGAAGCTCATTGATGTAAGAAATAGCATCTCCCAACAATGAAGCCTTGTCCATCTTGGAAATATTGGGCACAACAGCTCGTAATGCATAGAACCGCTGGTTAAGCTTCTCTCGCCGCTGTCTCTCTGCCTCAACATGATTAAGGGGTTCCTCTCTTCCGTTTGCTGGCTTCCTGCCCCGTTTACGAGGTCTCCTATCATCTGCTGCACTTGGCCGTTCTTCCTTGCATGAAGCTTCAACATCTGAATGCTCAGATTCTGCACTGAGTGGTCTGCCCATTACAGAAGGCCCTGAAGTGGCTCCTGTAAAATCAATTTGCATTTGCACCTGCTTTTGAGGCTGATAGTGGTTAAGCCTAAACTCCTCCCTAACCCCATTAACCAGCTCTTGTAGATTATTTGCTGTGGTTTGTGAACCATAAGCCTCACCTGGGGTTCCTTGTTTCAAACCAAAACTCTGTGCCCAGCCTGAACCATGAAGTCCATTTCGAGCACCAGGAAATGCAAGCCTACTACCATTCTGGTAAGCATTCCAAGATGGTCTCTCTTCCATCTTTCTGATGGCAAGTTTCTCCCTAAAACCATGCCCATGACCACAATTTGAGTTGTTCAAATCCTGACCAAAAATCTTTGGAACTCCTTCTACTCTTTCCACAGTCCCAAAATTCGAAAACGGGGAGTTCTCATCTTTCTTTTCACTCAACACAGGCATGGTGGCTGCTGCAGTGGCCATTGGCTTGGCTCTGATACTTGAATTCCGGGTGGAAAACCATGACGTTATTGAACGTACCATTTCGATACTCTCAGGAACAGATCTCACCGACCCTAATTCAACAACACCAACATCAGTAGGCACCAACACAATTGTCTGAAATCCCGCCGACTTTGCAAGAAATGACCTCACACAGTAATCAGGCCCTGTTTTCAATGCATCAGAGATCCACACATGCTTCCCGGAGGCATAACACTTTCCTGGACCACCTTCTCCGCGAGGAAAGGAGAAATACATAGATGCCAAAAAGAACATCTCAGTATCAGTAACCCGGTCCAATCCCAAGGCATAATTATCCTCATCTGATTCGCCAAACAACGTCTGCAGCTTCTGAATTACTCTCTTTCTCATCCTCTGTTGAGTCTCATCCTCAAGGCGTAGAATTCTAGTGACTTCAGATTCTTCACCTTCTTTAGGCTCCCTGCAGGACCCATCTCCCCAACCAAGAACCCAGTCACCAGACTTAGAACATGAAATCTGCCAAAAAAAGGCATAGTTCCAACTGAAATTCGAGGGGTTGGGGCGGTCCACAAGATCAGAGAGCTTATTTTGCAAATTTTCATCACCACACATAGCCATTAACAGATTCTGATTAGCTACTGAATTTGATAGCAAGTAATTAAAAGCTTTAGTGCCTAAAACAGCAGCAACCATAGTCTTATCTTCATCGTTCCATGCCCCGCCTCCCATACCCACCTCAATCTTCATTTTTAAAAGCACAAAACTGAAACTTTAAACTACCCACTGGAAAAAAAAAAAAAAAAAAAAAACCTTCAAACTTTATTACCCACGATCAAATCGTAGTACTGAAACCCTAGTTTCTATTACAGCCAGGGACTAAAATCTAATGCATTTAGCAAGATGAAACAAGCCCACATGGTTTCTCTTGTACAATACCGTATTCGTAAATTCAGATCTCAAGAACTCAATGAAATTTTTTTTTAAAAAAAAAGCTATGCTACAAAGAAAACCCAGAAAAAATATAACTAAAATTAATGCAAAGAAGATACAAATTGAAAGAAAATACACACCGGTTGAGTCAAGCAAATTGGGATAATGAGACAACAATTGCGGTAAGGTAGCAGAATGATATTATTCTCAGGTGCTGTAAATTTTCCAGGGAAAGTGACAGGTTTATAAAAAGAATTCCCGGAAAGCAATCAGAAAATTGGTTAAATATTTCAGAAACAATAAGGAATGGGGAAAAGAAAGGCTTTTCTCTCTTTAGAGCCAAAGTGCAGACAATGAGAGAGAGACGAGAGAGAGAGGAATGGGTTTGCAGTTTGGTGTTTTGCCCTCTTACTGCTTAACTGCATAAGTGGACCATGGTTAAGTTATATATCAGATTCAAAAAAGTAACCATGGTTTGAAGCATGAGTAAATAAAAGAATAATAAAAAATATTAATAGTATTGTGAAGGAGGAAAAAGGAAAGAAAGAGAGAAAAACTGTTGGAGGTTTGAGAAGTAGTCGGCAACGATTTTGTGTAGTTTGTTTGTTGGTCTAATAAAAGCTGGAAACTGTAGACGCACCTCGTACTTTAAAACTGGTTGTTTACACAACATCGTTTTTTTCCCCTTTTTCATGGGTTTTTTTTAGATGAGTTTTCGTTAACAATGTTTTAGTAACGATTAAGACATCAACATTAAGATATTCCTTTGCTAAATAGTGACGCCCAATTAGTTTGAAGTTTTAACACATACAACATGTTATCACTTCAATAATGCACTTCCTATTGCATATATTCAACTTTGGCTTTTAGTTCTTTTTCATGCAATTAGTTATGAATCTGCTTCAATTATTTCTTTTCTTTTGGTAACAAATTTATTTTGTGGTATGGAATAAGTGTCTGTAGGTTAACCACACCTCTGGTGTAGACAGTAGAGAACAAATAAACCTGACTAAGCTCGTCCTGATTTTAGTAAAATGGGTAAAAAAAAATTTGTTAACCAATGTCCTAAAATACTTGCGAGCCATTCGCTTTTTTTTTTTTTTATGAGTTATGCAATCTGCTAATTATTTGCTCAGAACGTAAATAAGTTACTTTTATATTTTTATGGCTTACATACCATTATTGCTTTTCTTGTTTCAGATGGTCTCTCAAATTAGCTTTGTTGTATTAAATCTAAATCTATTTTTTCCAATCACATGAGAATTTATAATTCATGAGAACATTTTTACTCGTGAGCTAACGAGAAATTTTGAATTTCTCCTAAGCTAACCTCAAGTTTGAATTTTGAAATATAGTGAATAAGGAGATTATTCGCTTAACGTCAAACCAATCAGAGATACAAGGCAAAATCAATGCTCTCAAACAAATAACTGTAGTAGAGTAAAAGGCAGAACATAAAAACAGTCTCCCGTTTAGAGGAGTAATATTATCGCCAAGATCCCAACGGAGATGACTGAGTGGGAGTGAGAAGCGGAAAAAATCTACCAAGGAATAAAATCAGCAACTCCTTGACTATTCATGATAATAAAAGATACTGTAAAATAAAATTGGTCGCAGCGTGGCCAATCATTTCCAACAGTTGTTTTTTATCGGCTTCTCTTTCTCCTTCCTCTTCTTTTTCTTTTTCTTTTTTTGTTCTTTTCTTTTCGGGATTTAATAGTTGCTAGGATTTAGATTTTAGTAATTCTAAACATAAAAAAATTAGATATATATCTCATAGTTAAGAACATGATCTAATGAATCAACTCGTGTGTATTTTAGATATTTTCTTTTTTATTTATTTTTCAATATTCAGCATTTCTAACATATTAAATACTCTTAAAACATGCATGGCATTGAATCAACAAATAATTTTTATTTGATTGTGATGATGTAACTTGTAGATGATGAGCACATATACAATGCTCATAGGAATGACAATAGACATGTACACGATCATTAATTTATTTTTTATCTTATTTATAAAAAAATATCATATCTATTATTTATTAAAAAATTATTTTATAAATCTTTATCCAGCTTATATATAATCTACGTTAGTTTATCCAACAATTTAATATCCGTTAAAATAATTTATTAAAAATAATTATTTTACTTTTTTATAATTTTCAAAAAAATATGATATTTCTGTTTATTTTTTAAAACATGATAGGGCGTACTAATTCTTGTTCATTTTCTCTCTTTTCTTAGTTAAATTGTTCAAAAAATTTTGTTTTATTAGTGAAATAATTCATATTATCAAATAATTTGTTAATTTTCAAGAGATATTTAAATTTAAGTTATGTCCTTTTAATGATAATGTTACTTCAAGTAGCATAAAAATATATGAACAAATACTTAAGTAATTTTAGTTTTACTATAACACAACAGTTCATAATTACACAGTTTAATATGCTTAACTTCTTAGTATAGCAAAATTGTCACAACACGGCACTATAGTCACAATGAAAATCAAATATACTCTATATACGTAATATGTATTCCGTTTTTCTCGATAAAATCTTCTATGGTTAAGTCTTACGTTTCATAAAATGTGTAATTCAAAAGCGCGAGTCTAGAGATAATGAATTTCTCAATTGAATTGCTGAATACCGTGTCGTTTTTGTATCCGTAATCTTTGCTATTTATCGGTAGCGAAGAATTATCAAAACTGACACGGTGTACTCACTCATGGACGATTACACCACTTTAAAGGTTTACTTGCTAGTTCTTAGTATATCTAGCATTGTTGAGAAAACCATCTATACAGCCGATTATCTTTTTCTTTTCTTTTTTTTAAAGAAAAATTCAAAATCAAATTTTCAAATACTTATTCTTTGCGTTGCCATTCATTCAAGCGATAGTTTTCAAAAAAAGAAAAAAAAATTGCCAACGTTTGTTTATATATATACAGGAACACACCCTTTCGGTACAGTATTTGTCACTTTAATTGTTTTGAAAGATCAGAAAGTGGAATTTGGTTAAGTGATAAGACGGTTATTTTGGTTTTACAAAAACTAAAATTCAAGTTTTATTATCCATAAATAACTAATTATGTTTATTTTTTAGCAATATTAAACTTGAACTTTAAAATACAGTTCAGTCATTAATCAAAATTAGAAGTGTTGTGATGTTCACTTAACTCAATTACTTATAAATATATATAAAAAAAATAATAAAAAAAAGGAAAAGTGCTTTTTGCGTAATGTTGGAGACCCATAAATACATGGAATATTTGCTATTTAGAGAAACACTCCAACAAACGGAATTCTAAGCCTTTTTTACTAATAATATTTTCACTTTTCCCTTTATTTTGCAGGAGTCGTACTAGATTTCGACTTTCCTTTTTTTCTTAAAAAAAATTCTTCATTATTTTATATATAAAAAAAAACTAAAAGAAGTGAGATAAATAAACAGTAACTTGATTTACTATATCCCAATTTTTAGGTTTTGGATTTTTTTTTTTTTTTTTTTGGTTGGTGTTGAACAGCAACCGGGCCTTGGCTGCTGTTCAATCCAACCAGCACCAGGGCCTTCATTCATTCTTTTTTTTTTTTTTTTGTCTTTTGTTTTTTTTCATATATTATCATGAAATTAGATGTAAAAAATATAAAAAATAAATCGTTATTTTTTTAATTTTACGTATAATTTAAAAATAATTAAATATATATGATATTTTTTTAAGATTTTAATTTGAATATATATATCCGATTATATTATTCTTATTGTTTAAAATTTATTTCTTCAATTATTTGTTTCTTATTAAAATTTTTATCAAATTAATTTTTTGATATAATTTTATTTGTTAGGAAATTTAGTTTTTTAATATATGAATTTTGATATAATTAAATGAGTGTTTTATTTTTAAAATTTTGATATATATATAAGAAATAAAAAGTATGTTTTAGATAGTTTGACTCAAATTTTTTTAAAAAATTAATAATCGGTTAATAAAATTCACAAGTTTTATTTTCTTTTTTATATATATTTATTCAAAATTCATCGAACCAATATATATAATTAACAAATTCAGAATATATAGAATAAATAGAAAAATATACAAAAAAAACCCACCTAAATTGTATGAAATATATTGAAGTTAATAGATTAAAATAAAAAATACAAAAAAATTGGTTCCGGTATATATATAATTTTGTTAGAAATTAACTATATATCCGCACACATAATATCAATTATTTGTTATTTATTTTTTCATATTCTAATTTTTTTTAAAGTAAAAAAAGTTTGATAATGTTTTCAAAGAACCTCACAATTATTTAAATACGAATTTTTATACTAATATTATTAAATATTTTGTTAATATATATATATATATATATATATATATATATATATATATATATATATATATCAAACAATTTCGCTCAATATATAGATTCGATTTACATTAATCAACATAAATAAAACTTTTATTCATACTCGTGTTATACGAATCGTTAACTCTACATAAGTAACGATTGTTTTACCGAAATGTAGCGTGGATATCTAACTAATAATAACGAAAAAGACTAAAGATCAAATTTTATCTCGTGAACTCGCTAGCCGGGTTTTGATTTTTTTTTTTTTTTTAACTAGAAAATTTTATGAGACTCCAAATATGAATGTCATATTTTAAACTTGAAATTTTTAGATTGAAACATCCCATCTAAATCGTAAAATAAATGAGATGTGAGATTTTATATTATCTCATAAATAATTATCAATAACTGTTCCATATGAAAAACATGAGTAGACGAGAGAAAGAATTAAAAGGTGCT